TTTCTCCCCAAACAAGATGATAAAGCCACTAAGATGTAAGAAGTAATTGAGAGTGAAGGAAACTGAGAAAATGTTACCAAGGAGAACCAATAATAAAAGAACCAGTTTCAAGAAGACAAAAGATGATGTGGCATTTAAATTTTTGAAGATTTTGGTTGAAAAGAAAGAAAGAAGCTAGAAGAGGTTTTCACAGACAAAAAGTACAAGAAAAGAATCTATTAGAATAGGATATTCTGCAATTTCAGCAGTAAAGTGATGTGAGCTAACAGCCAATATAGTACTACACTTCAATTCATGAAATCAAGATTCCAAAGAGGAAAGCTCATCAGAACAATTAGCAGAAAAATATTTATAGAAAAGGCACAAGGAAGCTACATTATGGCAGTGGAAAAGTGATTGAAGCTAAATGCTAGGTCAGGACCAACAGTTATTACTTCCCCAGATATCTTTGATTCAATATTGTTTTCCATTCTTATGAACATTTCTGTTAATGATTGACAACAAGTTTTTTTATTTGATTAATATTTGGTGAGGTTTGTGGCAAATACATTAATTTGGTATCTTTGAAAATATTGTGGCAAGTTGGGCAAGAGATAGTTTTGCAGAATGTGCAAGAGTTATTGTCTTGCATGAATATACACTTCAGCATACAACTTTTTGGTTGTCGCCTGTACCATTCAAAAATGTTTTATTCAGGAAGTTACAGTAATTCTTTGCATATGTTTTTCTTTGTGATATTTCCTCAAAGCTGATAATTTTATTGCTTTCATATCTTTATCTAATGTTCTTAATATTCCATATCTTTTCTCTCAGTTTACATTCTCAACATCAGCTTCTTTAAATCTTTTCTTACTTATCTGTCTATATCTCTGAGATGAGATAATATAATTATTTACCTTATTTACATTATTCAGACTGTTGTCCTCATCTTCATTGCCATATTCACAATGTTTTGGCCATTGTATGCTCTGGCCTTCTTCAGGTGATTGGAATTTCGAACCGAACCCTTTATTTTGTCAGCCAGGGTAGATTGTTCTACTTCCTCAGGGACACATGGCCCAGTGGATAAAGATGTTGGTTAGATCCAGTGACTAGACCCAAAGAGTTGTGAGTTCAATATCAGGCTACAGCAGTGGTGAACCAAAAAACTTGGAGAGTTGAGTTAAAGGGAAATAACTGAAACATCTGGAAGAGGCATGGCATGTAGAACCAGAACAATCTACCCCAGTGGATGAAATAAAGGGTTTGGTTTGAAATTCCAATCACCTGAAGAAGGCTAGAACATACAATGGCTGAAGCGTTGTGAATATGGCAATGAAGATGTGAATAACAGTCCGAATAATGTAAATAATGTAAACTTTTCTTATTTATTAGACTTTGAATTTTTCCCATATACTTTTTAGTGACATTCTCAACCTTTTTTTACTATTTTCTATGTTGTGTTCATATCTCCCAATAATTTTCAATATCTTGTTTCTTTTTTGAGGTTTTATCTTCCTCATCACCATATATAAATTTAAAAAGATGATAATACATAATTGCATAAGTTCTTAGACAAGCAAAAATTTATGACAAAAATTTCTAATGAAATGATATTTTAAAATAGCTGTTTTTGGGAAGAAACTTCCTGAGCAAAACATCTTTTTCTCCAAGGAAATGAGGGTGATTCAACTCTGTGGATGTAGCAAGTTGGGGCTTGGCTCTAAATGTCTGATTTGATACACTGGAATATTTAAAAATAATAGCTATAAAAACTAAAAAGTAATAAAAAATCAGATAAGGTTCACTGGCCATCAAAATTTCTTTTTTTTTCTATGTGCCATGTTTTTCAGAATGTCAGTGATCATGGCTCTCCACAATTTCCTATCTTTTGTAGCTCTTAGTAAATTTTGTCTTTTTGCTGTCTCTCCTAATCCCTGTTCTTCCAACCATTTACACAAGCTTACTAGGTAAGTTATTGGCTGCTTTCCTCTGTTCCTCAACATGACATATGATTGTCAAAGTTTCTAAGCCTTTTTTATCTGCCCTAGAAATGTCATCTGTTTTGATGTTAAGTATTCTTTTTGTTTCTATTTTCTCTAAAACTTTGTCATTGTTCACATGATCAGTTAATTGTATTCTCAGCATCCTTCTGTAGAAGCATATTTCGGTTGCTTCAAGTCTCTTCTTTATCTATGAAGAGATTGTCCAGCATTCAGTGCCATATAGAAGGACCAATATTTCATAACAGTTAAGCTCTCTTTTCATTGTTTTTAACAAAATTTTCCTGTTTCTTAATACTTTGCAGAGCTTTTGAAAGGCATCTTTTGTTATCCCAACATGCCTTCAAATTTTGGTGTCCCCTTTTCCGTCCTCTGTCAAAACATTTTCTAGATATTTAAATTGTACTTTCTTGATCTTGGCATCTCCAAATTCTAATTTGCATGTTGAGTTCATCTTTTTTAGCTGACAAGCTTACATTATCTTCTTACAATTTTTGTACTTGTTTGATTTTGACATCTCCAATTTGTAATTTGCATGTTGGGCTGTTCCTTTTGCTAACAATTATGCATTCCATCTTGCAGTTAATGTTTAGTCTTTTCTTCTCACTTTCCTTTACTACCTTATGTAAGAGTTATTATTTTTTTTTCTGTTAGTTCTACACTAAAAATAATATTTTCACAACTTTGTTTACTTGCACCATTCAAATGACAGCTATGCACAGCTGTCGCACTCTTCTTTGAATCCTTTCATGAATAACCAGTTATTATGGCTGGTTTTGCTTCACTTTTCATTCAAGACTTTCATCTTTAGCAGTCAATAGTAAGAAAATAGTTTTAGTTGCTTCTAAAATTTGTTTAATAAAAAAGGAACTCTAAGAAAAAACTGTTAAAATGAGAGAAATAAACATTTTTTTTTAAAATTTATTACTGAGCTGTTATGTGACATCTGTCCTTCTTTATGGCAGTGAATGTTGGATGATTTCCTCAAAGATGAAAAAGAGACTTGAGGCAACAGAGATTTGGTTCTACAAAAGGATGCTAAGGATATCATGGACTAAGTGTGTGAGCAATGATGAGGTCTTAGAGTGGTTGCAAACAAGGAGGAGGCATATACTTAACATCAGGAAGAGGCAGCTGAAGTTTCTGGGACACATAATGAGGAAGAAGGGTCTGGAGAATCTGATACTCATGGCACCAAATAGAGGGAAGGAGAGACAAGAGAAAATGCATGACATACCTGGTGGGCTTAAGATAGTGGATGACAGAACGTAATCTGGGGGAGGAAGCAGAGGGAAGAACCTTGTTGCAAGGGATAGAAAGAGGTGGAGAGCCATGATCGCCTACATCCTGAAAGGACATGGCACATAAAAGATGAAGTACACAAGTTTGGGCCTCATGTAAAAAATGTGATGAATTTGGCATTATGAAAACAAAACATATTCACAATTTTTTTCCTCACAGAAATAGAGGGTAGTAATTCGCATGACATCATATTATTATTTTTTTTTTTTTTTTTTTTTTTAATCGGCATCTTCCTCAACAAGGCAGAAATGCCACTAAAATACAAGGGGTTACAGAGTATGGAAGAATTAGGGGCAGAAACAATAATGATGGACAGAAAGTGAAGAGAGTCATCAGAAGGATAATAGATAGCAATTGATATTGCATTTAAATTTTTACAGATTAAAGTTGGCTGAAAAACATGGAACCAGAAGGGAGCTCCACAAGTGAGAATTACAAGAAAAGAAACTTTTAGTATAAAATTTACGGTTACATTTAGCCAGCTCAACTGTAAATTGAGGAGATCTTGCCACCAATCTAGTGCTGCTGTTAAATTAAAAAATTCTAGGTACCATAGCGAAGAGCTCAACCAAGCAATTACCATGAAAGTATTTATAAAAGACATAGAGAAGCAACCTTACTTTGGTGGGAAGTGGCTGGAGCTGAGCTGCCAGATCATGACAAATGATATTGCTGATTCTTCTTTGGATCTTACCAAGGAGCTCAAGGTAGTGGGGATACTGGACTATATGTGGCAGCAATATTCTAATTATACAAGAATAAATGTGTTACATTTAAATGTGACAAAAATTAAAGCAAATGCACCCCAAAAATTTGGAAGGTATTTTCTGTGAGTCAATTTGTATGTTGCAGTCTAAAATATGTATAAGTTGATTGTGAATGGCCAACTTCACATAAGTTCTCATGGGATTAGGAAAGTTTAAAAAAATTGACTGTTTGAATTCTTATTTTTATTTAAAAACATTGTTGGATAAAAAATGAAGTTAGATATTTTTCTCTGTATGAGGAATAAATTGATAGCTATTTCTGTCACTCAAGTTCAGCTCATCTCAAATCACATAAATGGTGGATACTTTTTCAACTATACTTTTATATCAGTACGACATTAAGAAATAAGTTGAAATGAATCACCAAATTTTCTTTCTTGTTTGATGAAAAATTTATCGGTGCAAAGAAAAAAGACAGGTTCAGAAGTATCATAAAATTTGGTTGTATGTAAAAAGTCAAAATAATTTATTTACCTGTAGACTAAATAAGTTACATATTTGCATTTAGTACAAAAATAACCAAAGACTAATATAGCATTGAAACATCACATTGCATTATTTTGTCATGAAGCAGACATGGAATTCATTAAGAATTTGAATGAATAAAAACAAAATAAAGGAAAGAAATAAGATTATTTGATTTTTAATCAATCAGTGTAAATGGATAAAAAGAATTTAGCCATTAAGTATATTGCATTCAAAGTATTTGAAGTTTGAAGAAGCCAATGATGTATTTCTCAATTACATCTTTCTTCTTTTCTCCACATTACCCTCTCCTTAGCCACCCCTTTTCAATAATTAGAAACTGTCAATGGAGTATTTCTTCTTTATTTGAGAGGAAATTAATTACAATCTTCATTTCAGGAAAAATTATTCGATTTCAAAATGTGTGAACCATTTAGTAGTGAATGTCTTTCTTCGTATCCTTTTATTCTTCTTTGTTCTAAGTATGATGGCTGATTTGGCATTCAAAGAATTCCTTTTCAAAATCTCTCTCATTTTCTTTTATTCTTTCTTTTCAAACTTATCTTCTGGTTTCTCTCATTTTCCTTTCCTCATTCTCTTTGGGTTTTTTTTTGTTCCATCTCCAACCCACTTCATTCTTTCTGACCTTCTCTCCTCCTCCTTCACTATCTTTTCCCATCCACCTATTTTATTTTTGTTCTTTACTATTTCTTCTAATTTTCTAGTTCTTCTTCTGTTCTTTAAACGGATGACCCAAGGCGGAATATTTTTCTATTTAAACTTATAACAAACTGTTTCTCATTTTGAGAGTGATTTATTTCATTAGTTAGAAGACTTATTTATTTAAATATTAGTTAACTTCTAAACTGTAATGTTTTACACAATTAGCAAATTAGTTGACTGAACATTGGAATTGAAATCATAGAAGTCAACATTTAATAATAATAATGACTGCTTGTTTTTGTCTGTCAAGGTTGACAGCTAATTCATGTCACAGACATTTGCCTAGGTATGTTTGTGCTTCTTCAACACCTATAAAACCAACCTGTGTTTATACTGCAACTTTGCTCAGCAGACCTTAGTTGCAGTTTCTGGAAGAGAGTGCATAATCTAGCATGGTCAATAGAACAAATATGTTTAACCTAGCTTGAGTGGTTCTTAGGCCTTACATTGGTTGAATCATAGTATTAAAAAAGTGGTCAACAATTTCTAATTTTCAAGAGCAAATTGTTGTTTAAGACATTTTTCTTTTTCTCATGAAACATTTTACCTCTTAAAACATTTAGCTTCTTAAAACATTTTTTCTCTATAAAACTTTGATGCATCCTTCTATTTATGTTTTGGATTTGGTGCAACAAGGTTGTCTGCAGTTCTTCTCAAGATGGAGATGTGACCACCCATCAAGCTCACATAAAAATACATTAAGGTCATCAGTGCAACTGGGAAATTTATTTTTAATTTTATATCCTAGCTTATTTGCTGGTCATTGTAATTTTTCCTGTAAAAAATAAAACCTTGCAATTGTTCATCTAGAATATAAAGAAATCTACAAATGTATAATTTAATAATAACTGCTGAAAAATTTGGTCATATCAAAATAATGGCACATTTCCTATTTTAATTCTTATTTATTTTTCTTGAAAAATAAAATAGACTACATCATTATTCTTGTTTAAAGAAAATGAATGGCATATTTATTTTTGTTAAATATATATGAATAATTTCCTTTTATTCCTAGTTGTCCATGTTGATCATGAGGAAATGTATACAATTTAGTTTTGAAAAATACATAAATATATACTTTAAGTCTTTTTTCAAAAGTTCCCAAACTATTTTTCTTTGGGCTCCATTATCAGAATGAAAATTTGCTTGCACCTCACCAAATATTATGTGATAAAAAGTACATTTAAAAATAAAAAAACAGAGAGAGAGGATTAAATTTTTTCCCTATGAAGTTTTTGAAACTGTTTCTAAATCTTTGATTGTCTTTCAATCATTCTGCCTCACCTGCTATCCTCTTCCACGACACCCATGAGGCATGCCGCACTTTTTGGGAACCACTGCTCTAAGGTGTCGTATTTCCTCTGAAGAAAAATCTCAGAAACAGTTTCTAAAGTAGAGGACAATTTTGTGCATCTTGTTTCTTTAATGAAAATAGCCAATGGTTGATTTTATCAGAAATGTGTGAGATCCCTCAGGCAGAGAAGAGACCAAATTTCTTTTAAAAAAATAGGGTGTATTAGGGTCATGACAAATATCTTTTAATAAAATAAGGTTTTAATTAAAGAGTTTGGGATGCTCTGGTCTAAAACGTTTGCAAATGTTATTTACTGGTACAGCCATACAAATATGTTTTATGAGAAGCATTTAAAAACTGACAACCAGGGTTTGAGCTTCACCTATAGTAGAATACAGTTTGGTGTGTGGCTAATATTCCAAGATGTTGCTGTTATATGATGGCAGATGGCATTTTGCTGACTTATTCACTTTGAGAAATAGGTTACAAAAACTTAACTATTTAAAGCAAACATCTTTCTTGACATTTAAAGGGCCTATGTTATAGACTTACATTGGGTCCCAATAAAAATAAATAAAATAAAATATGAAAATAATAAATATAAACAAAATAAAGAAAGAATCCAAATTAAAATAAGATATTTATACTTTCTTTTAAAACCTTATCTCTCTCTCTCTATATATATATATATATATATATATATATAAATAAATACATATACACATACATACTTCTCTCTCAGCTAATGAGAACACAACCCTCAATTAAAAAGAGGAAGAAGAAAAGACTGAACCCAGCTGAGAAGCACCAGAAGTTTGCAGAACCAGAACTTACTTATTTAGGACTATGAAGCTACCAAAATAAGACAGGCTTCAATCATAACTTCTGTTATATAAACAAATAAAAAAGGAAAGTTAAAAAATAAAATAATTTTAGCCAATCAAAAATTTTAAAACAAAGAGACTTTTGATATTAGCCAAAACCAAGAGCCTGCTCAAAAGGATATAAGTTCACACCTCTGATCGAGATGAAGTGAGTGATGAGAAACCACAGAACAAGAGAACTCGACCACCAGAGAAACCAGCCATACATGATGTGTGAAGAAATAGTTAAAAGGTCATTTTCTTATGATATTTTCTGCTTTACTTAGGACCAAGAAAAACAGTAAATTGACACTAACCTATGCCTAAGATTACTACTACCACTAGCATGGTCTGACTTCAAAACTACCCACTACTGAGCCAAAACAGACATTTCTCCAAACTGCTACCAATAATATAAATGAACATTCTGCGAGACCGAATACCAAAGGACTCACTCTAAATAAATAAATAAAAATATATTATTTATTTTATACCCTAGAATCAGTTTGTTTTATTACCCAAGTTCCAATAAATAAACACCGAGAACAATCCTGACACAACTGTTTTCTATGCCATTTCTTTTTAATGAAATATATGTTGTGGTAACTGTTTCCTCTTCTCCAATTAGTATACACTGTGCTTGACTAGCAATGTGACCGTTAATGACAAATCAGTGGAGGCCAATCTGTACAGAGTCAGTATTTTGGTAGGTGCTGCTAAGAGTACATGCACTCCTGATGTATAGGTAGACACATTTTTGCAACATGCCAAACATGTAAGTAAAGACAGCTTTTTATAATAGCCGCTAGTTTTCCTTTTGATGGTTGGAGGGAAAGCATGGAACACATTTGTATACTTTGTTAGCATGTCCTCTTTCTAGAAACATTTTTATTTATTTATTTTTTTTACACTTCTTCCTAGTCATCTTTATATTTTATTTTAAATGTATGGGCAATTATCTGCATTTGATAGCTAGATTCTAACAAGGTTGACCAACATATATTTTTCACCATTAAGTTACTATATTAAGTATACTCATCTAGTAATGGATTGGGATCCCATTTACTTTTAGAACCATATCAATTTTTCTTTGCATGAATTCAACAATGTGCTGTAAGCATGCTTCCAAAATTTGAGTCCATATTGTTATGGCATTCCACAATTCTTCTAGATTGTTTGGCTGCACATCTAGGATCCAAATCTTCCTTTCCACCACATCCCAATAGTGCTCTCTGGGATAGGGATCAGGTGAATGTGGAGATCATTTTAACATAGAAAACTCATTGCTGTGTTCCATTATTTTTTTTTTTTAATGACAAGGTACAGTACCCTGCTGGATGCCAGAGGGTAAATGTAAACCATCTTTTATTGGTACCACAGCTCCCAATGTATGCCAAAAAAATATTTTCCATCCCATTACACTAATACCACCAACCTGGACTGTTGATAAAAAGTAGGATGGATCGATGCATTCATTTATTTTTTTTTTTTTACACCAAATTCTACCTCCACCATCTAAATGTTGTATGAATTGGGACTCATCAAACCAAACAACATTTTTCCAATCTTCTGTTGTTGAATTTTTGTGATCCTTAGTGTATTACAGCTCGATTTCCTTATCTGACAGGAGTAGTATCTGGCACTGTATTTTGTTGCTGTAGCCCATCTGCTTCAAGGTCCACTATATTATGTTTTAAGAAATGCTATTCTGTATACCTTTGTTGTGAAGACTGGCAATTTGAGCTACTGTGGTTTTTCTATCAGTTTGAAATGCTTTGGCCATTCACTACCAATTTTCTTCATGAACAAAGGGTCTCTGCACACAGAATTACCACTTAATCGGTTTTTGTTTTCTTTTTCTGGTCATTCTCTGTAAATCCTAAAGACAGTCGTACATGGAAATCCTAGTATATCAGCAGTTTTTGAAGTACTTACATTTGTTTATCTGCCATCAGTGACTATGTCAATGGCTGATTAGAAATTTACATAAAAGTGTAATTGTTCACATGTACTTACATGGCCAGTGATTATATATATATATATATATATATATATATATATAGTTGTTGAGCATCTGATGGTAGTGGTGGAGATGGCTGTGAAGATCCAGCCTACTCCTGAAGAGTCACAAGCAGGAGTCTCGATGCTAAGAAGAGATGTCCAAGAGAGAACCTTATTGTTGGTGATGCTATCCTCCTAATTGATTTGAAGATTTGTTTGCTGGAACTGCTCCAGACATTTGATATCATATCACAGTGATACAAAGTCAAGGTATTGCAAGTGTACAAAATGGAGGAGAGATCAACGGCCTGGAAAACCATGCCATATATATATATCATATGTAAATTTTAAAATGAAGCTTTCCAGTTCACACTTCTCTATGACTGTTTGAACAGGAGTAGAATTTTATACTTTCTTTCCTGTCTGTTTAGGGTTGGGTTTCTGGTTCCTTCTGAATTCTACTTCAACCCTAGATCAGTTCTGAAGCTATTAAGCAAATCATATAAACTTCAATAATTCATATTTGGTTTGAAAACAAATTGTCAAATTTTAAACAATTTAGATGTCAAAAGAAAGCCTGATTTAAAATTTTAGGTACTATCAATATGTTTTATTGAAGTTATTTGAGGTATTCAAAAAAACTGCCAACTGAAGTTATGAAGCAAAACCAAATAAATACATTTTACTTCAATAAAAAGCTAATAAAATCATAAAAAAATTTATCAACACCTATAATAGAACAAATAATAAACACATATAAGTTTTTGAGTCCTTTACATTTTAATATAGTAACCCTTCTTCTGAATAACAACCAGTAATCCATTGATTTTGTTAATATTTTTACTTCAACAGTTTCAATTTCCAACATGTTAGATTTAATTGCTTCCTATAAGTCTGCTTTGCTTGTATATTGTTTGCCACCTTCATATAATTTCATCTTCACAATTGACCATAAATTTTCAATTGGATTTATATTAAGATTTGATGGTGGCCATTCCATTATCTTCTCTCCTGTAAATCTTTTATGCTCAAAGAATTCACTGATAAGGTTAGATACATGAGGAGGAGCATTGTCATGCATAAATGCATACTTTACTTTGAAATTGCGAGATTGTGACTTGTACCATGCAAAAAAATGTCTTGTTCATTAAGTCGAAATATTCAGAAGTTTATTATTTTGGTTGATATAAGATATCTTATATGTAGTGAAGTGAGAACAATACTTCAACAAAATCAAGATATGAACAATAATTCTGAGTAAATCAAATGTTGAATAAATCAAAATATTATTTACATTGTTTGGACTTTTGTCCTCATCTTTGTTACCATATTCATGATGTTTTAGCTGTTGTACACTCTGGCCTTATTCAGGTGAATGGAATTTTGAACAGCACCCTTTGTTTCATCCACCCAGGTAGGTTGTTCTAGTTCACATGATGCCTTTGGATGTCTCAGTATCAGTTATCACCCTTTAACTCAACTCTTCAAGTTTTTTGTTCACCTCATCTGTAACCAATTATTGAAATCACAACCCTTTGTTTTAAATCACTGGATTCAACCATTGCTTTTATCCACTGGACCTAGTGTCCTTGAGGACAATCACCTGAAGTAGACTGGAGCATATTCACAATGTTTTGTCCATTGGACAAAATGTTGTGAATATGGCAATAAAGATGAAGACAACAGTCTGATCAATCTAAATAATGTAAATAATTACAATGCCTCATCTCAGAAATGTAGACAAGTCAAAGTATACTGACATTTCCCCATCTCAAACTGCAAAACAAAATTATCAATATTTACAGTTGCATTTTAGTAATCATTATAGTGACTACTATTAATTCTAATTTCATTTGAATTTAATTTATATGGGCAAAGTTGTTTTATTATTGATACACTGCTGACTTTACAACTGTTCCTTCATTCATCTGTTTGGCTTTAGTCTTTCTTGTGTCGGAATTGAATAATGGATCCATACCTCCAAAAGTTCTCAAACATATAAATATGATATACTAAGAGAAATAAAAAGGTAGGTGCAAAATAATATTAATTTTATTTACATGAATAATACAAGGGACATAGCAAAACATTACATAAAAATAGTACCTACATAGAGTGGTTGTCATTATTAGAGAAGATTTCTAACTTTAAGTCAAGGTGAGGCCACTGGTTGGCACTTAATTTCTTTTCTTCTTCTTTTATTTAACAAGTGTATGAGTCTAGAACCCAAACTACCATCAGTCATGATGGATGGATATCCCCTTGAAGAAGCACGAGGCCTTGAAAATATTGGGTTTCAGACTCACACCTGACCTCAAGTAGGACTCACTAAAGATGATGCTAAAATGATTGGCTCCCTGTACTGCTCCAGTAAGTACCTGACTACTCATACTATCCTCTACCTTTATAAGAGCCAGATCAGGCTTAAAATGGAGTACTGTTGACATATTTGGGTGGGATCTGCCCAGTCCTCACTTTCCATTCTTGATAGAGTTAACAAAAGCATTTCCAAATTATTTTCCAACCTCCCTCTCACAGGCAGGATGTGGTGAGTCTCTCACTGCTCTGTTGCTACTACCATGGAAAGTGCTCAGCAGAACTGCATTTCCTGGTTCCACCAGGTCAGACCTTCATGACTAGGACTCACCATGCCACTTACATTGTAGCAAACCACCCATATTCCCTCTGTATTCCATTGGTGAGAAGTAAGTTCCACTCAAACAGCTTATCCCACAAATCACTGCCCTGTGGAATGATCTCCAAAGAGGATGTTTCCCTGACCACTACAATCTTAACCTGTTCAAGTCTAGAGTTAACCATTATCTTCCCCTCCTATCCATATAAACTACCCCTTAATGTAACCTTCTACTTGGGGTGGACCCCGGGCCTTGTACTGGGTGAACCTTACTGTAAAAATAACAAAATAAAACAAAAAAAATAAAATAAATTTGGCATCTACCATATCTAAGGACATGACTATTTTACTAGCATGCCAGGGGCAACAATTCACCTGGGTCCTCTGAGTGCTAGAAGAGATTGTTTATATAAATCCATACATCTTTATCTGGATTTATAAATGAAATATTGGGTTGGAGCATAATTATCAGGCATTTTTTAAACAATATGTATTATGAAAAAAGAAACATAACAATAACATTTTTAAATGATTATTTTGGAGTGTGTGATTATTGACACACATTTTTATAACCTGAAAATAAACTAATATTTTTATTAAAAAAAGTAAACAAAACAGCAATTTTTATTAACAAATAACTTGCCTGATAAACGCCTGATAATTATGCACCAACCCAATATCTCCTGCACTCAGGAAAAAAAAAAAAAAAATTTCAACAATTTTTGGCCTAAAATTTGTTTTGGTACTCAGAATCTTCAACAGTTCAAGTTTTTACTTGTACACTTTTATGATTGGTTTCTTTAAAAATTATTGTACAATTTTTTTGGTACTCCATCCAAAATTATCATGTTCCATTTCCTTGATGAACTTAATGTCTTAAATGTTTCTTTAATTAAGTTCAAAATTCTGAACACTTTAAATGAATTTCCAATCCTCCTTTTATTCATATCTCCCCCCATAGTGAGGAAAATTCTAATCATCTCTAATTATTAAGACAACCACTTGTATTAGATTGTGAGTCTCTGAGACAAACCACGTTTTTCTAACTGGGCAAACAAAGTGTGAAGTACCAATCATTCTTGTTATATTACTAATGTCTCTTATTATGGTAGATTGTAGGATTGAACTCAGATTTTGGTAGTAGTTTACTTTTTATAACATTGTGAAAATGGAAACTTAATGTTTCTGGGCCTATTTTTTATTTATGTTTTAATTTGATTTCTTGATAAATGAGACCTTTCTGAACAAACAAGATCAGCCTTATCGATATATTCAGATATCATTCTTCATTCACAAACATAAAAAGCTCAAAGGTACAGTTTTGTGATAATTTTTTTTATCCCAGATATGATTATATTCATGCCAAAGATGGCAAGGGCTAATCTTTCAGTAAGGAAGAAGTCAAATCTTGAGAGAATTTGTTTACCACTAAGATGCTAAGACTATTTGTTTTGATTTATTTATATTCCATACAGTTCTCTTATTTTCACTTAATCAAAAGTTTGAAGCAGCAAGGTGTGGCTATAAATAATTTGAGTGAAAAAAAATAAAAATATTTTGCAAAAAATAAGGGTTAGAAAAAATCCCTATCCACAATTATATGAATATGTATAGATGTGTTTTCATACTAATCTGTTTTTTAAATGTTTTCCTTCTTTATGCCTTGTCACAAACATTTTTCTTTTGGTTCAACATTTTTCCTTTTAAAGCAAACCAATTTACCAAATAACTGCTTGCTGCAACATCTGTTTATTATATTTTTTATAGATCAAAGTTCAATATCAAATGTGATGAAATCAGACATTTGAAGGTGACATTTTCTCTTTGCTTTTCTTTTTTAATCACATCTTTTTTCTCATTTTGTTCTATTTTTCTTCCTTTTTTAAAAATGTTTTTCTTTTTATTTTCCTTCCTTCCTATTTTCTTTACTTTTTATTTCCTGTATTCATGCATATACATTCATCTCATTTTTGTTGGCCAGTTTTCTCTTTTTTTCCCTTTCCAATAATGTTATCCATACTTACCTCCCTTATATTTCTTATAGTCTGTTTTCTCTTACTTTCTCTTCCATCTTGCTCTTTATTTTTCCCCTTCTTTCTTTCATTTTTGATCATAAATGTTTGCTTAATTTTTAACTTTTTCTCATTACTTCTACTTTTGTTGCCTTGTCATTTGAATTCTTGATCATTCTTTTAAAGTTTTTCCAATTTTATTTTTTACAATAAACTTTTTTCAGTTCCTATTTTCCTTCATATTTGATTCTCCTATATTGCTTTCTTTTTCGCCTTTTTGTTCTTCCTGGTCTTCTTATTTCCACATCTACTAATTATTCACTTTCTACTTCATTCTTAGTTTTTGTTATTGATCTATTTTTATTCTCTTACCATTTTCTTTTATTTCTGTTTCCAGTTTTTTCTTCCTTTTTCTACCTCCCCATTTTTCTGATTCTTTCCCTTCATGCTTCTCTTTTTCCTTTTTTCATTTCTTCCTTCTCTATTTCATTTCTGCTCTTCCTCCTGCCTTCTCTAATCATCTTTATTCCAACCCCTCACGTTTTCACCCATTTCTTTCAGTGATTTTCTTCCTTCTCTTCCTTTATCTGACTCATCACATTCCTCTTAGAAAGGAAATTTGGGAAGAACTTATCTCATTTAAACTTCAGCTTTCATGTTCTTTGTCAAGGACCACGAAATTCACACATACACAATAAAGCAACCATTTTTTTTTAATGAATATTTTTTCATTTACTCCTTTCCCTTCACCTCACCTGCTTTTTAACGATTTATTAACGATTTTCTGCTTCTTGTTAATCTTTGACGATTTCTTTACTGATATAGACAACATTCCAAGTTTTTCCCCACCTTAGGATTTCACCTTTTCATCAACCTAACATTAATTTTAATCAAAAATTCAGTATTTCTTGGTTTGTTGTCCATATATTTCATTACTTCAGTTTGATTCTTTACATAAAAATGATTTCAGTGTATAAAGTTGCTTACATCAACTCAATCTAAACCAATTAGATTTGATAAAATAAAGCTCATTAGTAACATGAAAAATGACTAATGTTACATTAGAAAAATTGTTGACCACCATCAGCTTACTTTGATCATTGCATCCTGTTTTTGACTTTTTGGAAGGAGTTTTTATGTTTTCCAAGTATGCTATTAGATGTAGGTTTTGCAGCATTGCCCATAATTAGGACTGAGCTAGCAAAGATATCTAAGTTCATGAACTACCACCAGTAGTATGTACCCTCAAGAAGGCTCTGTCCCTTAAGAAAATAAACCCAAACCTGACCTCAAGTGGAACTCATGTATTGATCCATCATTAAAAATGCAGGTAAAATGATTGGCTCCCTGTACCTTTCCACTAAGTACCTGAATCCACATGTTATCCTCGAATTTCATAGGAGCCATGTCAGGCCCAAAATGGAGTGTTGCCATATTTGGGTGGGAGCTACTCAGTTCTCACTTTTCAGTCTTGGTAGAGTTCAAAAGCTTCCCCAAGTCCTTGTTGGAGAAGAATTATTTTCCATCCTCCAAGCTCTCTCACACAGACAGTATGTGGCAAGTCTCTCACTGCTCTATCACTACTACCATGAATAGTGCTCAGATAAACAACATTTCTTGGTTCTGCCAGTTCTAATCTTCATGGCAAGGATGCAAGAAGTTATGGCTACATCTAGCTAGCGCAACTGTAAATTGATGAGATCTCACCATCGGTCTACTATTGTGCTTAAATTCATACGGTCTAAGTACCATAGTGAAGAGCTTATTTAAACAATTACCTTGAAATTATTTGTAAAAGAGGCACAGAGAGGCAACCTTATGGCAGTGGGTGACTGACTGGAGCTGAACTGCCAGATCAGGTACTCTTTTGTATAATACTATGATTTATAGTATACACTTTCACCAGCTTTTAGAAGTGAAGAATAAATGGAAAAACTCATAAAAATAAGATATATGTTTTGTCATTGATAGACTAATGTAAATAAAGCAAACACATTTTAGCTCCTAAAAAAATTTATTTCTGAGTGTTTGATTAAAATTAAGGATATTTTATCACTTCCTGTCAGCCCTTATATAATGCATACATATTCCAATTTGGACATATATACTTTAGAATCTGAAGTGGAATCAAATATGGATTCAAATTTGACAGAATGATAGAATAAGAAACATTTATAAATTTAACATATCTTGCTTTTATTTAAGCTTCATCAGAATATTTTGGAAATGAGTTGCAGAAGTGAATGTTCTGGTTCATTTGAATTCTGTGCTGTTTGTTTTTCATTGGTCAGGTAGATCTCATGTGTCTATGTCTACACTAACATGTGAATTTTATGACTTATTAAATGAAACTTTACCAACTTCATATTACATCCAAACTCAATGATATATCAGTTGGGTGAGAAAGATTGACAGACACACATAGAAAATGTGTTAAATCCACTAATTATATTTGCTATTTTAACATGTTTCTGTAAAAAATTCAAAGTTAAAAAATGCTTGTTTGGTATATTTTTTTTAATCATTTCACCCCAAGCAAAGCAGTAAAGCCACTAAGACACAAAGGGTTACTGAGAGTGAAAAGAATGAAGAAAAGTAAACATTATTAAGGAGATAGAACAATAAAAGGACATAAATTAAGAAAGCAGATGATAATAATTAACATTGATCTTCAAAAATTTAAATTCAAACTTAATTGGAAAGTAAGAAACTGGAAAAAAGTACAAGTGAAAAATGTGAGAGAAGAAACTGTTTGCATAGAACTTGTGGTTACATCTAGCCATTTAAACTGTAAAATGATGAGACATTGCTACCAATCTATTGCAGCACTTTAATTCATAGAGGCTATGTATCAAACAAGAAAGCTCATCAGAACAATTACCATGAAAATATTTATAGAAAAGACCCATGGAATCTATGTTATGGTAGTTGGAAAGTGAGAAAAGATTGATAATATTGCATATTCTTCTTTGTATTTTATCAAGCATCTCTTGATACATATAGCAGAAGGACCAGATATTGCAGCAGTATTCAATACATGAATGAATGGTAGACTTATAAATATATAAGATAAATTCAGGGAAGAAAAATTGCCTAGAATGACACTGTGAACCAACATTTTTAGCAGCAGACCTAGCAAAGTGATTCAATATAATCTTTCCACTTCATATCAGTGGAAAATGTTAGCCTGAGAAGTTCATCTACAGGCACCAAATGATAGATGACCATAATGTATTTTGTTATTTCATATGATGGATATTATCATGAATTTGGGCTACATACATTATGCAGTAGGAGACAATTATTTAAATAGCAATAGAATTAGCACCTGAAGACACCATGATAGCTTTTGGTTGATGATAAATATTGTTAAAGCCACAGAGAAGCTTCAGTGCTATTTATTATTCTCTTTACACTCACACACACATCCAGAAAACCTAATGAAGAACATATACATAGTTGATGTCAGCAGTTTTTGTAGATGGGCAGCTAAACAATTCTATTAGCAGTTAAATTGACTATAAAAAGCGGGAACCATTATTTGTAAAAGCATTTTATCAGTTAACTAAATTATAAATCTTTGTTGCACTTTTGTATTCTTTAAGAAAAATTTTCATATAAGCAACAAAAAAAACAAAAAACACTACTGACCTTAATTTTCCTCCAGTTCCTCTCTTCAGATGAATGTTTCAAGGTTTCAACCAAGAGATAGTTAGACTAATTTTGGATATCCTGAAATAAAAAAAGAAGAGAATGTAAAACTTATTTAAAAAAAGTTTAATTCTTAAATTTACAACTTTGTATTTAATTTCTAACAATGTCTGAATTGTTTTTTTGTTTTTTCTTCTTGCAAATTATTAGTATCCGCCATTTTGAAAAATAACAAGAAACTTCCTCTTGCCACTCATCTTTCATATGTAAACCACTTTAACTTGATTTTGTGGATACCTTTTACAAGAAATTACAAAAATTTGAACAAAAAAGACTAAATGTGTGAATTTTAGCAGTATATTGTTGTAATAGGATTAGCATTATGTTCTTTTTTAAAACCAAAATTGCTTTGAGACAATACACACTTATGACAAGGTTAAAGGAGAAAGTTAAACTTTTCAAAAGACAAAGTTTTGTTTTTCTATTTCTTGAAAGATACACTTGCCATTCTCTTTGCAGTTTTTCTTCAAAACAGAAGTGAGAGTTGCTTAATACCATTTTGTACTCTTCTTTTAATTTTTCTTATACTGGAATCTGTTTTATTTTTATTTTTATCTCTGTAAAAATTCCATTTCTGAGTCTGCGATGTAATCCAATTGATCCAGCCTGTAATTATCTTTTCGGTTTCAAATGCGTTAATCAAATTGAGTGTCATCTTACTTAATTTGTACGTACAAAATGTTTACCCCAAGCCCACAGATATCTTTTGACCTACATCTTCTCCCAACTATTCATCCAACTGACAACAAACTTCACTTGCATCAACAACAACAAAAAAAAAAAAAGAAATAAAAAGACACCTGGTGTTATTGAAGGCAATGAGATTAGAAACTATTTCAACTTCTAAACACAAAATAAAAGAAAAAAATTCTAAACCAATTCTGAAGAAAGAAACAAAACCCACTGAAAACAAATTCAATAGACAACAAACTAAAAAAACTCAAAAAATTGTATTGATTTACAAACTTGAGGATGATATGTGAGAGTGATGGCGCCTGTAGAAATTTGTGAAGAGTGGATATTCTAAGATATTTTCACTATTATTACCAGAAAACTTTAGTCAATTCTTGAACTTGTGGATATAGAAATTTGAAAAAGGACACAAAAATGAATGAAACCAATTGAGGGAAAAAATATCTTTTTTTAAGAAGTTTAGAATTAATTACTTGCTACATTCATACTAACGAGCACTGTGTCTAATTAACTTGGTACTGTAATTCTGATCTCATTTAGACCTTTCGTGTTACTTGTTAAATCCCTTTCTGCTTGCTCAGTTTATTTATTCAATTAATTTTGCATTTTTAGGAAATATTTCCTTTTTCTTTATGATTTGCTTTCAGTGGTTTTGTCAGGAGATATTTAGATTAATTATCAATATTTTTATCATGTGACTTATTTTCAATTATTGGCCTACTTTATTCACATTACTTTTTTGTTATCTCATCTGTTTTGCTTTTGGTAATTTTGGTTATATAACATTTCCCCATTCATCATAGTTTAATACACAAAGAAAATTTTACCAAATCTAAACAAAAACCTTAATTAGTGCTTATTTTATCATTGCATGATTTTCTATGGTGAAGTTTGTGCAAAACAATAAAGTCATTGAATTTCTTTATTAAATTCGTTATTATTATTATAACTGACTACTTCCAGTTTCAAAAACAAAGCTTCTTTTGTGGTATGTCCCTTCATGATGTGGCAATCGTGACTCTCCATAACTTCTTAGCCTCAAAACAATGTCTACTTACTATCCTTCCCTTTCTCTGATCTGCCAACTATTTTCTTGTTAAGTAGATTATTTGCTACTTTCATCTGTCTCTCTTGCCTTTTATATGTCCTGTGAGTATCAA